TAATATATGAATATATTATTGTTTTATAAAAATATTTATTACTATTATTATTAATAATAATAATAATAAGAAGAAGAATAGTGCTATATTTATATTTAAAGAAAATTCTAAGGTTTTTAATCAAATTTAGTAGTCCAGCCTAGAAATGCCAAGGGCCTGGACAAGAAGTAGAGCCGTATGCTCCGTAAGGAAGGGCCTGATTTTTCTGATGTTGTGCAATGCAAACCTGCAAGATCGAGCAGTTTTTGCAATGTGGTCTTTGAAAGTCACCTGGTCATCAAAGATTACATCAAGATTTCTGACCGAACTTGATGGGGTAGTATGGAACTAAAATAATGACAAATGTCTTTGAAACAAAAAAGCACGTTGAATTGCACTAACAGAAGAAAAAATGCATTGCATTAACAGTGCTTGCATTTTAATGCCTTGTATTTTCAAAGACATTTGTCATTATTTTACTTCCATAGGGTAGGTCTAATTATTGATGAATCTAACTGGATGGTGAAATCATGCTGTAGAGTTGGAGTGGCAGGGAAGACCAGGAGCTTAGTCTTTGCCAAGTTGAGCTGTAGGTGATGTTCATTTATCCATGCCGAGATGTTCTCCAGGCAGCCTGAAATCCGTGCAGCTACCATTGGATCATCTAGCTAAAATATGTTATAAGGAGAAGAGAAGGAGTCCAAGAACTGATCCCTGAGGAACCCCAGTGACCCAGTGAATTTGGATACCTCCCTTTATATTACATATTATATAAAATATTTAAGTAACGTGCCATAAGCAAATATTTAAAGGGGTCATATGATGCTGCTAAAAAGAACACGTGGCTGACTCTTAACTTTTATAAAGAATATCTCTTTGGATTTGAGACTTTAGTCTTTGCAACTTTACAGATCTTCTTTATGCACCAAGAGCTTGTAGCTCTCCAAAGAGAAAGGAAAAATAGAAATCGCATCATATGACCCCTTTAAATATTAATATTAAATATTAAAATATTAGTTTGTATAAAATATTAAAGTTTTATATCAATCAATTTTAAATAATAAATAAAGTGTTATAGGTACAGTACCAATAAAGTTATAATATTGACATTTGAGAAGTTTTTGAGTTCTTCATCAAATTCAGTACATATGAAGTTATGGGAATTTGGACATAACCTATAAAAATAGGATAATAAAGTTAAGTCTTTCACTTAACAACAGCATGGTGTCTTTAAACATCTGAGTGTGCTGTTTTTAAACATCTCCGGGTGCCATTAATATGCGGCTGAAAACCAGGAGGAAGCCAATATTGTGAGTTTTCAGAATTCAATTAAAGACACCAATTCATATCGGCAAACACCCCATTGAGAAGACAGATGAGCCCTTATATTGAGTCAGACCCCAGTCTATTTGGAGCAAGGAGATCAGCAGGCTCTCTGAGCCTCTTTAAACTCATTTATAGTACTGACAACCTTTATTGATATCGCCTCACAGCTGACCAGAATAGACTATATCTGTTGACGACGATACGCAGCTTAACGGCGTCATTGTTAACAGCACTGCCGTAATCCGATGCAATTACAAGGATGAAAGTGAAGTGTCTTATGGCGTTGTGAGGAACAAATGAGGTAAAGAGTTGAATGAGCTTGAATGGAGAGTCAAATGATACTCTGTTAGAGTATTAAACCTATCAGGAGCAAGATGTAATGTTTCTCTGACTCTCTGAAGTGTGTCAGGTTTTTTCTTTAGAACCGCTGGTAAACATATGACACATCATATGCCTTATACACCAGTGAAAACCACACGAAGCACTAGTATGGATTCGATGCGCCGGGCCCACGGCACTTCCTGTGTTTCATTACGTGGCATGTTTTGTTATCCACTTCCGGACATTGATTTGAAATCGTAGTGACATCGATGACCACGAGCGAATTTGTGAATTTTGCGGCGAGGTGGTATGTTGGATTTGTGTCAGTAAGCAGCCGCATGTCATGATGGGACTTGACACCGGGCCTGAAGGGAGGAGGAAAATGGCTCTGCTTTATTTTGCGGAGAAACGCTTAAGCTTTTGACCTCATCATTTGTTTGAACGCTTCATACAATCGATCAGAATGAGAACTCCCACGCAGCAGATAAAGTATTCAGTCTGAAACATCAATGAATGTCAGGAATTGCTTCATAGAGGTGTTTTGTCTAACTTTTAGGATCACACAGACGTGGGGCGAATATAATAATAATTAATTTACCGAGTGAATCATCTGAGTGGATTAGGGACTAGGTGCTTTGAGGAGCTCGAAATAGAACCAAGATGTCTGCCGCCTTCTTCATCTGTCAGCTTTATCGTAGATGGATGCAGTCATTATCCATAATAACGTTATTCTTGGGATGAATCCACTCTTCTTGTTAACCGTCAGCCTTTTTCCCCTGAGCCTTCCCCATCAGAAACGCTTAAGCTTTTGACCTCATCATTTGTTTGAACGCTTCATACAATCGATCAGAATGAGAACTCCCACGCAGCAGATAAAGTATTCAGTCTGAAACATCAATGAATGTCAGGAATTGCTTCATAGAGGTGTTTTGTCTAACTTTTAGGATCACACAGTATACAATGCTTTTACACAATATAATAATAATTAATTTACCGAGTGAATCATTTGAGTGGATTAGGGACTAGGTGCTTTGAGGAGCTCGAAATAGAACCAAGATGTCTGCCGCCTTCTTCATCTGTCAGCTTTATCGTAGATGGATGCAGTCATTATCCATAATAACGTTATTCTTGGGATGAATCCACTCTTCTTGTTAACCGTCAGCCTTTTTCCCCTGAGCCTTCCCCATCCCACATATCATAAATGTAATGGCGCTTTCCACAAATAGGGTGCAAATTGGTGCCCCATGACTTTTTTTAAAAAAGCGTTACAGGCACAAATTCCATGCTTTTATTGTAAGAACTGGAAATGTTAGATAACCATGAAATGTTAGCTAGTTCAAAACACATTAAATGTCTGTATCCCTCCTTTGGCCTCTCCATATTTCTTGATTTTATGATTGTATCCAACAATTATAATCACACAACAATGTCCTAATTTTGACCTGATTTATTGAATTTTCATTCATTGTAATATTTTACTTTATTTTATATAAAAGAATAAAATATAAAACTTTTATATTTTAACTAAAAAATTTTAATGTAAAAAAATTGTGTACATTAAAAAAAATTAAGCCGTTTTTAATTTATGCAATTTAATTAATAGTAAAATTCCATCAAATTGAATTGAATAATTGAGTAAGGATTGTTCAATTCAATTTGATGGAATTTTACTATTAATTAAATTGCGTAAATCTTTTTTTTTTATTGTTTATTTATTTAAAAGTTGCGTAAATCTTAAAAAGGCTTTTTTTTTTAAATTTACTTTTCACTCAAAAATGGCTAAAATCCTACTAAAATTCTAAATCCTACACTATATTTTTTCAGTGTATGAGCTGTTTCTATTCTATTCTTTTTATATAAAGTAAAATACTACAATGAATTGAATGCAATTCAACATATTAGGTCAAAATGTATTTGCGATTTGTGATCTAATAATTTCTGAGTGAAAATTATTTCAAAGTAAAATTTACACTGCTTTTTTCAGTGTATGAGCTGTTAAATGGTCTGTTTTTTTATATATATATAACAAAACAACAATTTCTTTCACTGATCATCTGTTCAGAAAAAAAAGCATTTTCAAACCTTGGTTTGTATCCTATTCATTGAAAGTGCCTAATAATTCTTATTTTTGCATGGTGAAAATGTTTACAACCAATTCACTTTTTTTTTTCTATTTTTATGGAAACCCACATGTCTGGATGAAAGGACAAAGCAACAACATGGAATTTCCATTCAAACCTTTTGGGAAATATGTAACCTCTATTTCTTTACACTTGTTAGCATGTATTGTCTAGAAGCTGATTGGGATGCTGTCTGATTGTCATTCTGAAAGCAGGTGTAAAGGGGCTCAGGCCAAGTGTTCCATCTCCCAGCCTCCCTCATGGCCAGAGCAGAGCTAGGGGGGAGGACAGCACTTGACAGCAGTGACTGCGAGAGTGAAGAGAGAGCGCAGGTCGGAGGAGCCGCCGATTTCCCTGGATCTGACCTTTCATCTGCTACGAGAAGTACTGGAGATGGCCAGGCTAATTTGGCGCCCTCAGTTAACAGTCTGAACTGTCTGAATCACAATTTAAACCAAACACTACAGGGTTTAGTAATATATTTCTGCTATGTAAATCTATAAAAAGTAATAAATTGTAACAATACTCATGCTTTGTCTACGTATGATCCCATGGCGATCTTAACTGGAAGCGCTCGAGTTGCCATGGTTACTTCGGTTGAACGGGACTTCTGTTCGCGAAAGTCTGTTTAGTACAAATCTAACTTTTACGGAACTTTTGTTAAATAAAATACGTACTTTTAAGACCCTTCCCCTAAACTTTTAGTTTGACTTCCTTTGAGGGGTTTCAAGTCGTAATTATGGAGCCTCATAATTTGTTTCATATTTTAGATTATAAAGACATAAAGCTTTCAAATATTAGCTATAGGACAGTGTTCTCAATATTCAAAAAAGATGGGAGAAGATCAATATAGAGGATCCTAAAATACCCCTGGTTTTATATGCATCTTCTTTCACACACATACACACTCAAGGACGCACACACACACACACACACACACACACACACACACACACACACACACACACCTCGATGACTCATTCAAACCGAAAACTGTTCACTTACGTTCATTCAAGTCAACTCTCTCTCCCCTCTGCGCAGACGCAAGCTACTAAATGCGTGACACTTGTCGCTGACCGTGCCTATATAAACGCAAACTCCAGCCTTCCTTTGAAGAAGTCCTAAAAGTAATAACTTGATAGGCACCAACTGGAAGACAGACGCTCCTCGCAAAGTTCAAAAACCATCCAAGGATATATCATTTACGCACAGGTACGCAACATCTTATCTGGAATAAGACAGCTGATATTGAGGTAGCCTAGTAAACGTTAAGTAATAACATCTTACACTGATAATCTTTATTCTAGTTAGTTTGTATTGCTGTAGATGAGTCCTCGTGTTTTGCGCACAATGAGGCACCGAGCTCTCCAACTTTAAAGCGCGCGTAAATGCCCAAGTGGACTTAGAAATATACATTTGTGCAATGCAATTATGAATGCGAATGTGCAGTAACAAATTGCATCTGTCAAGATTTGAGCTTCGTCCCAGAGTGCGCAAAACAGTTGCTGAGAAGTTGAAATCGTGCGCATAATTGACTCACTTCTCCCGCAGATTCTCCTCGCCACTTTTTGACATGAAGCTCAATTTTCTCGTCACCACCGTGGCTTTGCTCGTTGCCTTTCCACCACCGTATGAATGTAGAGCCATCGAAAGCAGCTCCAACCAGCAAGCCACGGACCCCGATGGAGAGCGACAGTCCCCGCCGGTTTTGGCACGCTTAGGGGAGGAGTACTTCATCCGGCTCGGTAACAGAAACCAGAATTCTCCCCGATCCCCAGCCGACAGCTTCCCCGAGACATCCCAGTATTCCAAAAGAGCACTGCAGCTCCAGTTAACGCAGCGTCTGTTGGAGGGGAAAGTTGGAAACATCGGCCGCTTGGATGGCAATTACGCGCTCCGGGCGCTCGACTCAGTGGAGAGAGAGCGCAGGTCGGAGGAGCCGCCGATTTCCCTGGATCTGACCTTTCATCTGCTACGAGAAGTACTGGAGATGGCCAGAGCCGAACAAATGGCCCAGCAAGCTCACAGCAACCGCAAAATGATGGAAATATTCGGGAAGTAACCATGAGCAAACCCATCAGCCAAAGATATTTTTACATTTAGCACAAACATGAATATTCTGTACCATAGTGCTGCTTTTCCATCATGATCTATTTATACCGGTGACTTATTTATTTGTAGATATTTCAATGAAGGCGAATAGAGTACAGTAGGTGTATATGAAGCGCAAAACTGTCATCACTCTCCATCAGTGTTATTGTATAAGTGATCATTCAGAACTGTAGATGAAGAAAACGTTAGTTTCTTAAAAAAAAAGACAATATTTTCCAGTACTGTATTATTTTATCTGACAGACTTGAGTTTCATTGTAACATACAGTACATTGTTTAAGTTTGTTAATAAACTAATGAGCAACCATTAATTTTTGTTGTGCAAGAGAATGTCTTATATTTATATTTTTCAATAAAACGTTGAAAGCCAGTTTGACACCTGTCTAGATTATTGTCATGAAAAAGTGATTAAATAATTAAAAATACCTCTACTTATATTTCACAGTCATCAAGTAACAAATGTATTTATCAATGCATGAACATGTTTTCAATATGTCTGCAAACTTCTAACTTTAAGAATCAATAAATGAGGGTAATCCAGAGATGATTGACAGACAGGGCATCTTGTTCCTGAGTGGTTTCACCAGGGGTAGAACAATTCTTTATATAAAATATTTAATCTATAATTTATTAATTACAATTAAAAGGGGTAAACATAATCTTATATTACAAGGTCATTTTTACCACCTACCTTCAAAAAATGGAACCTAAAAACAAGCTCAAAAACAAGTCATAAACACATATAAGGTACCTCAAGAGTATATTGCACATATACACTGAATCATTAAATCAATATACTTGCTGACGCTCAATGACACTAATGTACTTTTTCAAAAAAAGACATCAAAATAGAATTTTTCCTGGACTTGGCAGCGTGTCTTTGAAAAGGTCATTCACATAACAAAGTGTTAGTGGGGGGAAAAAAAAAAAACCTGAGTAGACATGACCATTATGACAAAGGCAACTGATTATCAAATGCAGTATAAACACTGGTGCTGACTGAAACGTTTCACACCAAACCAAATAACTGATGAGTGGTGACTCATTCTACAGCAACTGGAGAGCTTGGGTGTAGTTTCACTGAACCATGTCCTAAAGTGAACGGCTGAAGCACATCCAAATCCGATCAATAACTCAAATGTGAACTAACAAGGCACTCAGAACATTTCAACCTTATGTTTTTTACGTAGCACCACAGAATGCACGTCACTTCGACTAGGATTCATTCATTGCAAAGGTGGAAGCCACACATGGTGAGCCGGAGTGTTGTTTTGGGGTTGTGCTCCCTGGACCTCATTAAATTGGTTGTAGCCGTTCTCTGTGTGAAGCCAGCAACAGAAGCACATCCTGTCACTGATCACCCTCCACTGGGCCAGAATATATGGATTACGCAATGTCCTGGCATCGTTATTTCAGCTCGACCACCGAGATGTGCAAACAACACTTATTTACTCTTCGCCTACAAGACCAGGGGAAGACAATCCTGTGAGCAAAGAGACGAGGCGATTACTTAATCCGCGATTACCACGGATGTTTCTTCATGTAGATTAGGCATCTGCTGTATATGTGATACACCAATGCTTTTGGAACTGAACTGGATGTTGATTTGAATTAAATCTGTTACAAATGATTACATGAGGGTAACCTTTTATTTGACGTTGACGTTTATAAATATGAAATCCAGAGAACATTTCAAGCGAATCGTGTCATTCATAACTCAAATACCACTGCCGTGCCAACTGCAATGAAATACCACGCGAACACTCCCTACGCAGTAAACAACACCACAAATCTTGGAAGGGTTTCTTAAGTCATCTCCAATTATATTTAGTCATCTAGTGACTTTTCTTAAGCAGTTACTGAAACAGAAACAGTACCAGCACTGGTAAAATAGTCTGTTTTTAAAATGTAGGTGTCCATATTGTTTTGAGCAGCTTGCAAAATGAACGCTGGATCAATATTTGTGTTGGCATGTGCACTTTGTGAAGTTAGGATGATGTGGCGGGTCTGCGTGTGCTCAGGGGTTGTGGGGGAAGAAGGGGCGGAAGGGCTTCATTCAGTGAGTCCACTTCTCCCGAGGCTGTTTGCCCTGCCCGGCCGTCCGCATCGACAGCCACCTCATCCTCGTCCTCCTCCTCTTCATCATCCTCTGCAAACAATGAGAGTTTAAAGGAATACTTCACCCAAAAATATAAATTTGCAGAAAATTTACTCACCCTCGGGCCATCTAAGATTCAAACAAAAACTTTTATTTTGGATGCGATTAATCGTTTGACAGCACTAATTTGTTTAGAACTGTTTTCGCTTGTAAACGATGCTTGATCTCTGCATATTTCTCTCCTGTTTTAGACTTTTTCCACTGGAGAAAGCAATATTATGAAATAGAGAACTCGTGTTTTAGCCAGAAGCAAAGATTTTAAGATAAAAATGACTTGATGGATTTGTTTCTTACAAACATGCAGCTTTTAACTTTACAAGACGTTCATTGATGAACTGGAGTTGTGTGGATTACTTATTGTGATGTTTTTATCAGCTGTTTGGACTCTCATTCTGACGGCACCCATTCACTGCAGAGGATCTATTGGTGAGCAAGAGATGTAATGCTAAATTTCTCCAAATCTATTCCAATGAAGA